GTTTTTCTTGATTGCTTTGACACAGTTCTCCGATCTGAAATGTCACTCCAACCACTCTTTATTAGCAAGACATTTCCTTACATTGGTCTTTTATCATTATGTTTCATATACTTCACATACTTCACTACTAAAAACATTTTGTTGTGTTTATGCATTTCTCATCTGTACGTATTATAACTTATATACCACATATCTTTTACTTTGTGTTAGTGTTTTCTAGCAAATCACTTCCTACTTTTTTCAGTGGTTATAGTAACACATGCTCTCATTCTGGTATCACAGCTGTGTGTTGTGACTAATTACATAAGCATATATACTGTAACCATATATAGTGGGAATTTCCTGTAATATACAATAGTACAGCAGTAGTACAGTAGTTGTTTATATAATTGTACTTGTTTATTTTTTTTGATGCACTTTTTTTCAGGAATGATCTGTAAGAAGCTGCAAGAGACAAGGTAGTGAGATGTGGTTTAGAAATGATAGCACTGACAAAAAGACAGAACCCTGAGCCAGAGGTGGCACAGTTAAAGTTGATAAAGTTTTCATTGGGAGTGAGCTGGATGGACAATTAGAATTCAGTACATCAGAAGGAAAGTATAAGTTGAGTGCTTTAGAGACAAATGTAAAGGGCCAAGGCTGAATGTACACATAGTGAATATGCTGGGCAAAGGATGTTGAAGATGATGGTGCAAGGCAGCGGAAAAGTAGGAAAACCAGATAGAAGATGTGTGGAATGAAGGAGGGTTGATGTGACAGAGGATAATGTTAGGAATAGGACAACTACTGTGGCAACCACTAAAGAGAGCAGCCCTACAGAAGAAGAAGAAGATAGTTTCACGTGTATCATCTTGCTTGTGGCTTTCCTGATCTGTGTAATGCATAGAGGAACACAAAAAGTTATTTACACTCAGGTCACGCGGTGTCCCTGTTACCATGTTATTGTGCCACATGTGTATATGTACGCAAATCACCCTAAGACACAATATAATATAATATAATATAATTCAATATAATATAACAATAGCTTAATTTCAATTTTCAGTTAACAGGCATTTCTGTCAGGGCTCTGTGTGCGGGCAGGCGGAGATGAGGATCCAAATGCAGGACTCTGACACTGAATTGCAACTCAAAAAAACCTCAGCTTTATTGCTGGTGATGAAACAAAACATGAACTGACAATGAACGACTGGAAACAGAAACACACAGGCACAATCTGAGAGTACGACGCAACAGAGAGCAAAGGAAAACACAGGGCTTATATACACAGAGGAGTAATCAGGCAATGGGAAACAGGAGAGAGACACCGCTGGGAGAAATTAGGCTAAAACTGAACACACTGACACCAGACATGAACATGAACCTTCAAAGTAAAACAGGAAAAAAGACACTTTACTAAGACACAGACTAGACAGAGTGAGACAGACTTGACACTGAACTAAACCTGCAATAATAACAATAATCAAAACAGTATCTCTAAATAATCAGAACATAAATCATAATCCAGAAAAACACCAAAACATAAGAAACAGAAAAAGCGGGGTCAAAATGACCCAGAACCGTGACAATTTCACTATAATTCAAAACAGATTGTAGCTCAGAAAGTAGAGCAAGCAGAAGGTAGGTACGTTGATCCCTGACTGCTCCAGTCTTCATGGCAAAAATCCTTGGACAAGATACTAAACAAGTTACAGATTGTTCTCCATTACATCAAGTGTGAATGTTATATAGAACATGAAGGGGTGAAGGAAGCATGTTGTATGAAGTGATTTGAGTGTTCAAGTAGTGCTGACAAGTGCTATAGAGGAACTAGTACATTTACCAAATTGCTTGCTGTGTGCACACAGCTGAGAAAAAGGAAAGTTCAGTTTAATTAATTTCTGCTCTGTTTAATAAAAATCTCAGTATTATTTAGACTCAGTAAGTGGGCTGGCCTCTAACTCTCAAATTGAGCACTGAGTGAAGAGTTTCAGGGCAGAGTTTTGACAGTGTGCTCATAACTTTGAGTCATCCACATAAAGTATTGATTACACACTCGTTCTGATAACATCTTCCCCTTTTAAAAAACAAGAAGTACTAGTGGCAACTAGCACTTCAACCATAAGCCTACAGTTGTTCTCAATAATTTTGGAACAATTTTCACCACTCTTAATGCAGCTGTCAAAACGGTTAAGGCATTTTTCATAACACAGACTAACCTGTTCAAAAGACACTACAACAATCAAAACCTTTTTCACATTAGTCAAAATTTGTCATTTTAAGACATCAAATTGTTTTTTTTTACTTACTTTCAAAATACTACAGCAAAAATATAGGCCTAATATTAAGTGTTCCAAAACACAAGGAAAAGAGAAGGATTTATTTAAAACTTTACAAAAGTCTGTGATTTGTATAAATAAAATTGAATTGAACTGAATTGAGCTCTCACGCAGCGGGACTGACAGCACACTGTTATTGTTAAGCCAGTTAATTTTACTTACATAAATGTGATATGATTTTAACAATGACTTTTAATGTAATGTTTTCTACCAAAATACCTTCCCTAACTGATGATCCGAAGACCCCGAGCGACTACTGTCAATGCTGTAAAGTACAAAGGTGTGGACTCCAACCTAAGTGGTAATTAGTTAAAAAAAAACTCAAAAAAACTATGCGAACTCGTTGCCTCAAAATAAAATAATCTTAAGCTTACTTAAGATGACTCTTAGGACAACCTATTCATTGCAAGTATACAGTACTAAGAATAACTTGATGTTTCTGAATTTGCAATTGTTTACCTCTGACACACAAAAATTCACATTATGTTTTATCATCCTTGAAATTTCTAGTACAACACTTATATTAATAGAACACTGTATGCAAGTATGATTTAAAAAACCCATTAACAACAATTCTTGTAATGGCATTAAAATCAGCCCAACTTTTATTTTCAAATGCAAAAAAGTATAACAGCCAACATACTGGACACTGTTCTGCTGAACAACAAACAATTATATTGCCATCATTGTTATAATCTTACAATGAAACAAAGTCTCAGATTTAATTGTTCTAAAATTAAGTTTAGGCCTTCCACAACTTTGTTTTGCAAGTTACATTACTTACATCAAAATAAAATGTATTTATTCTTCAGTCACAAGTGCAGGCTCTAGATCAAACAGCACATTTGTTTTGCATTCAAACACAGAAGCTTGGTATGTTGTAATATTTTAAGGATGTTTGTTTCCAGTCCAGGCATTACTGCCTGAATGTCATTAACATTGTCCCAACTTTGCCTTAAATCGTCTTCAGACAGTGCAGAATGCTGCAGCACGTCTCTTAACAGGCACCAAGAGAAGATCTCATATCACTCCAGTTTTGGCCTCCCTTCACTGGTTGACTATAAATTTTAGGTTTCATTTTAAAATTTTAGTTCTAACCTTTAGGGTCCTACATGGTCAAGCTCCTCAATATTTATCTGACCTGCTGAAACCACATTCATCTTCTCGGGCTTTAAGGTCATTCGATCAGAGACTGCTGGTGTTACCGCCCACTTGTTTTAAAACTCGTGGTGATCGGGCCTTTCAGACTGTGGCACCACGGTTGTGGAATTCTCTTCCACTGTCTCGTCGCTGCATGGACTCCATTGATTCTTTTAAAAAACAGCTGAAGACATTGTTATTTAGAAAAGCATTTGATTAATTTCCTCTTACGCTGTTTTTATAGTTTTATTGTTTTACATTTTTTTATTTGCTGTTTTATTTACTGTCATATTGTTTTATATTTCCATTTCCTGTGTTGTAAAGCACTTTGTGATTTTTTTTATCTGTGAAAAGCGCTATATAAATAAATTTTACTTACTTACTTACTTACTTACTTACTTACTTACAAAATTACAGAAATGGAGAAAAGCAAAATGATAAAACTTTATGCAGAGGTCAGAAAAAAATGGCCAGACTAATTCGAGCTGTTAGAAAGACACCAGTGATGTTACAAGCAAGATATGCAAAAGAGCATCTTTGAAAGCACATATGACCTTGAAGCAGATGGGCTACAGCAACAGATGACCAAACTGGAGGCCAGTCCTGTCAGCTAAGAACAGGAAACTGAGGCTATAGTTTGCACAGACTCACAAAAATTGGACAATAGAAGACTGGAAAAACATTGCAGTCATATGGCCTCCACATTCACCAAATGTCAGTTCAAATCCACGTCAAGTATGCATTTCTATTGGTTGCAAGTAAACCTCTGACATAGTGTTAGTGTATTTGCTCTTTCATACATATTCATACATACAGAGGATTCAGACATCCATACAGAATTCAGAAAAGTGAGTAGTGAGAAGTGCATCAACACAGAAACAAATATCTATAGTAGTGAGGCATATGAGGTATATGTAGAAACAATAGTAGAAACTATGTAGACACAATAGGAGTGTGTGTAAAAACAAGGAGAATGTCTTATATGAGTGAGAATATGCGTCACAGATTTGAGTTCTGCATTAAGAGTAGCGAGAATGGCATTTCTGCTGTGAGAACTGAGCCAAAGCGATGGAGAAAAACTGTAAAAAAAAAAAAGAAAAGAAAAGAAAAAGAAAAAAGGAAATAAATACATGAATAGATAAAAGAAAAAGGTAAGCACAAACAAGAGGATAGAGATACAGAGAATTTATTAAGCTAATTTTGGAAAAGTGAATAGTTTTGGCACAACAGTAAATTCAGATGATAATTCAGATTGGAAAAGCTGTGTGACAGGACAGTTTAAAAAGGACAAACGAATCTCATTCTGAAAGGGAAACTTACAATTACATATGCCATAAAGCCAGCTACAAACATACTCTCGTTTACAATTCACAAATTCACAAGTCACGAAATTGAGACTGTGCTGTACTTGGCCCCTCAGCTAAAATTAGTTTGACCACTCCTTTGCAGTATGTGGCAGTGTGCACCTTACACAACAAATAAAAAGGAAGAAGAGTCTTTGGCCCTTTAAGACTTTTGGTTGCTGTGATTGGCTCAGTCCATTTTGTTGCAGGAAGCAGTCATTGTACTGCACAAAGTGCTATTCCAGCGCAATAACCACAAATACTTTGAGTATTATCAACAGTATAAAGGTATAGTAGGTAGTCACGCTTTATGCCGTGCGGAAAAATTGTGTCATGAATTAAAATGCTTCGTTATGCCAGTAACGTTGCTTGCTTCATCATGTAGCGGCAAATTTGAAACAGCTAACCAACATAACGCCGATTCTGTTGTTAGCTAGCAGACAAGTACAACAAAAATAAATGGTCTTATGGTTGAATACAGTGGGCTGAGTATTGTTTAGCGACTTAACTCTGGCCCAGCGGCACTGACAGCGCATTGTTATTGTTAAAGCCAGTTAATTTTACACAATGTGATATGATTTTAACGATGAATTTTGATGTAATGCTTCTTACCAAAATACCTTCTCTAACAGATGATGCGAAGACCCCGAGCGACTACTGTCAACGCTGTAAAGTACAACGATGTGGACTCCGACCTGTAAGTGGTTTTTACTCGTTCATTTCACCCACTCAGTAGGGCCGTACAGTATTTGTGGTCAGGAGCAGAAAAATGCCAGACAACAAACAAGTTTCACCAAGTCTAGAGCTAGTCCTTTATGATAATCTAAGTCAAAGTCAAAATTATTCATATATCACATTTAAAACAACAACTGTTGACCAAAGTGCTATACATTTAAAATAATCAAAATTGATGAAAACATAGGAAGACATGACAGGCACAGGCTAAGGTCACTTAAACCCTAATGTCTTCAAAATTGCTAACTGACATCTACAGATATAAACTTACAATAGCTTTTTTTTTTGCAACAGCCATCATCTGTAATAGCATTAATTCTATTAATAAGATAAATACTTAACATGTATTAATCTATTTTTTAATAGTTACTGTGTGTAATGTGTTTTAAACTTTAATGGACCAATCAGGAAACGGATTCCTAGACAATGACATTAAGAGAAATAAAATGAATTATAAAATGAAGCACTTTTAAAAGTTATATTTGTTCTATATTAGTTATAGTGACAAAACAGGTGTTGTATTTTGGATAATTTGAAGTTTAAGGCCTTCTTTGTGAGGCCTTGGAAAGGGGTATTACGTGGTAATTGTTAAATATGTCACTAATTGTTCAGGTTGCTTGGATGTTACTAACTATTAATCCATTAAACACCTGTGAAAAACATTATAAAGTTATTAGAAAGGTTCAAGTTTGGTTCTGGTGTTACAATTGACAGAATTTGTTCTTTTTCTTTACTCCACCATCAGATCTTTTTCCCAAACGGCGGATAGCGATGAGGATGCTGAGGAATGGAGTCCACCAAAGCCAAAGTCAAAAGCCCCCAACAAAACTGCTAGAGGTACTGCAACTGGTGAAAAGAAAACAACTGCCAAGAAAACTGCAAAACCAAAAGAGGCAAAAGCACCCAAAGAACCTAAAGCTCCCAAAGTGCCTAAAGAACCTAAGCTAAGGGCACCACGTAAACCTGCAGCAAGACGAAAAACACAAGCTGCTAAAAGTCCAAAGGATTCTGAAGCCTCAGTGTTGGCTGGAATGGAGAGGAAAAAAGTGGATAACGATTATAGAGAAAAAACAGGAGGAATTCAAACTGAGTGTCCAGAGGAAACGAGGGCTGAAGAGAGCGGGACAAGTGTCAGAACGAAGGAAGAGGTAAGGCAAATTTTCAGTGTTTATAATTACAGCCAAATGGAACATATTAGAATGTAATTATAAGTTAACTTTTGTGACCCATTAATTACACAAAACTGTGGCTGTATTTATAATATTAAAAACTTATAAAACTGGACAATGTACTACACATCAATATTTACATTCTGAGTTGATATCTGCAGAAAATGTCCATGTTCTAAATGTCTCGTGTTTGCATTTTTATGTTTTCTTTCATCTTGTCCTTGTTTTTCTTTCTTTCTCTTCTTTTCTTGTAGAGGGTGTCATTTATTGTGTCAGAATCCTATCAGAGAGACAGATGGGCAGATGAGGGGTCTTCACAAGCTGGGCTTGGAGTGAAGAAAGAGGAAGTAAATGCGGAGGATTTTACTTTTGATGAGCCCTGTCTAAAGAAACAAAAGACCAGTGCTGCCTGCATGGGAAAGCCGACTAACTTACCATCATCTGAAGCGCAGTCTTTGAGGAATGAACTCAATATGAACTGGGACTTGATAGAGGTATTTTTATATATTATGTGGGAATTGTTTCTTTTTTTTGTTTGTTTTTTGTCAGGTGGTAAAAAGACACCTAGCTTAGTTTCAGACAGAAAATAAATGCTTTAATAAACGAACAGTTTGAAGGTGACCACCACCACCTGGCCAAAAAGCATATTTCTACCTTCATTTGCATAAAGTTATGACTCAAGAATTAAATTAGGCTATGTGACAGTGATTCGCATATGCAGTTTTGGTGATAAGCTACCTTTTTCAAATTTAGTGTATTGCATTACTGATGTTTGAAAATCATAAGTATACAAGTAGCCATTCTTAATGCACACTGACATATTTAAAAACCAGTGATCAGTTAATACACACAAAGATCCAGAATTCTGCATATCAAATATAATCAAATGCTCTCTGCTGAAGGTTAATTTGTGTCTTTCTGCCTACCTGCTTAACTGTGTGTGTATATATATGCATGTAGAGTAGATGCAGAGTTGCAATTCCTGTGTGTGTGATTCCCCCCCAGGTGCTGTCCCACTTGACATGTGTGGAGCGATGGGTATGTGCAAACATCATTATGCTGCTTCGTGAGGAGAACACTGTGCCGTTCATGGTGCGCTACAGAAAAGACATGATTAACCACATGGATGCTGATGCTGTTCGAGATGTCCAGATGGTTTATGAGGAGTTATGGTAAGTGAATGTAAGATGTTCAATGAAACAAAAAAAATATGAATCTTATACTTTCATAAGATTTAGAGATGGCCTCTCCCTTAGAGATGGTGTGAGAAATTCGGCCATTCGGGAGGGGCTCAGAGTAGAGCCGCAGCTCCTCCACATTGAAAGGGGCCAGTTGAGGTGGTTTGGTCATCTGACAAGGCCTCCTGGGCGCCTCCTGGATGAGGTGTTCCGGGCATGACCCACCAGGAGAAGGCCCCGGGGCAGACCCAGGACATGAGAGATTATATCTCTCGGCTGGCCTGGGAATGCCTCCCGGACAAGCTAGAGAAGGTGGCTGGGAAGAGGGAGGTCTGGGCTTCTATGCTTGGGCTGCTGCTCCCACGACCCGGCCCCGGATAAGCAGAAGAAGATGGATGGATGAATGGATGGATGGATGAATCTTATACTACTTACACTACTCATGCCCTCAATATGTTAAAAGCATGGAAAGAACATTTTAGAATACTGGAATTATATTTGTGAAACCACATGAGCTGACTGTACTGAGTCCTGCAGCTAGATGGTGCTATATGTCAAGCTTTAAAGCCTGAAATAGTTGCATGTGGCTGATTTGTATTTGTCTGATTTCTGTGTGTTTGTCCTGCACAGTTGATAATCTGTCTTTCTTCTATGTGTATATTTGTTTTTCAGTTCTTTGGCAAAGAGGACTCAGTCTGTGGTTCAGACCCTGAAGAAAGATGGGGTGTTAACAGCTGAACTGGAACAAAACCTGAGGAACTGCCGTTCAGCTGATGAACTGGATCATGTGGTCAGAATCAAATTTGTATTCCAAAGTGTTATCCATCAATTAACTGTAATAAGATTAGCTCATTCTTGACTCGCCACACCTGAAAAGGGCTTTAGCACTAATAACTAGCTCAGTCCAGTGTTTGTGTTTTTGCCTGCAGTACTCCCCCTATAAGAAAGGCAGCAAGCTGACAAAAGCTCGCAGGGCCAAAGCACTTGGCCTTGAGGACGCTGCTTCTGCATTGATGAACACACCACACACTCTAGATTTAAGGGCATGGATAAAACCTGGTACTGAAGGTAACTGATAAACATGTGCACACTCTTGTCATGGTCTGCGCTGTTTTGTGTATTGCTTGAATCAGCCAATGATTACCCAATGATTTAAATGGTTATGCAATGCAGATGAAGACACACACAATCACATTCTAAATTCTTAAAGATTTATAGACTCATTTAAAGTACATTATTGATGTGTGTATATGTGTGACAGGTCTGTCATCAGTGGAAGAAGTGGCCACAGGTGTGGAGCACATATTGGCTGATATGATGGCCAAAGATCCTGAAACACTCACCTACGTGAAGACATTGTAGGAGTCTGTCTACATACACATAAAATCATAAAATTCATTTTTCTTGTATCTTCATGAATTATTAATATTGTATGTCTTTCTTTTTTTGTGCCAGATGTGAGAAAAGTTTTGTAAGCATACAGTCTTCTGTGTCTAAGTCGGCATTAAAGGAAAAGGAACAGGCGAAACCTGTTCAAGGCCACAAAACAAAAGCAGGCGCCGAGCAAAATAAAAACAAGGACATTGACAAGTTCCAACTCTACTTTGACTTCACCTGTAACATCCAACGTATCCAACCCCATCAGGTAGGAAGTTTAATTATCCTTTTAAGAATTTTCTGCAATCTACCTTAAAAGTTTCGTGCAAATACATTTTTATAGCAGAAGCGTAACCGTTTGGAGTGTGGTTATAAGCTTAAAATTTTGCTCGAGTGCTTTTGTAATAAACATTTCTCTTTACATTTTAGCTATAACTGTCTGCCAAGCCACCAAAAAACAAACAAACAATCAGTTCAAGTCCTTTGAATATTTTAGAGTTTGGGATATTTTTATTTTGGCTTTGATACAGTGCATATATAGTGCTATTACTAATGCTATTTTCCTTTTTCAGAAAACATTTTAATATTACATACATTACACAAGAGTAAATACAAAATAGAGTTTTTAAAGGATGATTTCATTTATTAAGGGAAATGTGAAAAAGTAATTGGCCTCATTATAAAATCATGAATTAACTGTGATTAAACTCATTTTTAGGAAAGCTGATTTTAATTCTTAACGTGCCGAGGATGACTGGGCGTGGTGGTGGAATGGCGGCTGTTTTTAGGGAGAAGCTCGCATGCAAACAACTCTTAACTGACTCTCATTCAGGTTTTGAACTTTTGATGTTTGAATTGGGGCATCCCTGCCCAACACGTGTTGCAGCTCTATACAGACCTCCAAAATATCACAATGATTTTATTCAAGACTTTTCAAACTTTTTAGCTGGTATCATGCCAAGCTATGATCAAATATTAATCGTTGGAGATTTTAATATTCACGAGGGACAACAAGGGGATTGGAGGGGCAACACACGTTGTCCCTCCAATCCCCTGGCCAGAGACTTTTAAAGTTTGATAGACTCCTTGAGGCGACTTTTGTTGTGATTTGGCGCTATATAAATAAAATTGAATTGAATTGAATTGAATCCTTCAGTCTTGCTCAGTTTGTGTCGAGACCAACCCAGAAACAGGGTCATACGTTGGATCTTGTGCTATCTTTAGGGTTACCAGTCTTAAACACGGAACTATGCGACACTGTTTCTTGTGATCACTGTCCTGTTGTTCGATATATTTTTATCTCACTGCCAATTTACACCTTTTATTCCAACACGTCATTGTCGTGTGTTTAAGCCGTCTGCAACAGAACAATTTTCTATTGCTTTTAAAGAATTTTAAGATCTCCCCCTGGCTCTAGTACCGAGGAGATGACATCTAATTTTTATGATAAATGCAGAGCTGTCCTTGATGAGGTTTCTCCTTTTAAAACTATGAGCTTGAAACCATAATCGATCCCATGGATAAATGAGACCACTCGTTCAGCCAGACGAGAGTGCAGGCCTGCTGATCATAAGCGGAAAAAAGGCTGCAGGTGTCTTTTCTCATGCTGAGAGACAGGTATCAGGAAATCGTAAAAGCAGAAAAGTCTAAGTGTTTTTTTCTATGTTATTGAGAACAGTTCCAACAATCCTCAGGGTTTTTTTTTCCCAATTATTCACTCTGCTCTGAATATTTCCCCAGCTTCTCGTATTAACAGTTCCTCAAAAACCTGTGAAAGATTCTTGCAGTTTTTTATCAATAAGATAAAACAGCTTTGATTTATGATTGCGCTGCTTTCACATGACCTTTCTAAAATATTCACCTGCTCTGATGTTTTTTATCAGTTTGAGCCTGTGTGTTTTGATCAGGTGGAGGAACTATGTAATGGCATGAAGACATTATCTTGTCCCAATAATGTTGTTCCAACGCATTAAAAAAAGATTTCTGACATCTTAAGGATTTTTAACAGCAGCCTTACTTCAGGTGTTGTGCCAGCTTGTTTTAAACATGTACAGCCTTTACTTAAAAAAAAAACCTAATCCCGATTCCTCTGTCCGTTCAAATTTCAGACCTATTTCCAATTGAAAATCTTGGAAAAGATTGTATTAGTTCTTTTGTAAATAGACAGAATGTTCTTGAGAGGTTTCAGTCCGGTTTTAAAGCTATTCACAACACTGAAACTGAACTTTTAAAAGTTCTTGACAATAATTTATTAGTCGCTGACTCAGGAGACTGAGCTGTGCTTTTGCTTTTGGATCTGACAGCTGCCTTTGATACTGTTGACCACAGCATCTTGATCTCACGATTGGAGCACTGCGGCATCAAGGGCATTCCATTAGAGTGGTTCAGGTCATACCGATCTGACAGGACTTTCTCTGTGAGCTTTGGAGCTTTTATCTCTTCCTCAGCTCCCCTTACTTGTGGTGTTCCCCAGGGATCTATACTGGGGCCAATTTTATTCTCTATTTATATGCTGCCCATAGGTCTAATTTTTTGAAAATATAACATTTGTTTCCATTCATACGCCGATGACACTCAGATCTGTCTTCAACTGAAGAGAAGCTGTCCTGCTCCACTGGAGCCCTTACTTCAGTGTCTCGGTGAAATTAAAGCCCGGATGGCCTCTAACTTCCTTAACTTTAATGACAACAAAACTGAAGTGATCATTTTTGGACCAAGTGTCAATCCCAGCACCTCTCATTTTAACCTGCGCAGTCTTGATTCTTTTATTAAGCTGCATGCCAAAAATTTGTGGGTTATATTTGACAGCAATTTCACCTTTGAAAAACAGATTGGTCTTTTTTCAAATGGAGGCTTTTAAGGTGAAATCATTTTTATCTTTTAAAAACTTTGAATGGGCAATCCATGCTGTTATTACATCGCAGCTGGAATATTGTAACTCCTTATATGTTGGAGTTGGCCAGACCTGCCTTGCAAGACTGCAATTGGTCCAAAATGCTGCAGGTGCATGAACTAAAACATATTTCGCCAGTGCTTGCCTCTCTTCACTGGCTCCCTGTTTAGCCATACCAAGGTCAAGGCTAGTTCACAGAGGTGATCAAGCATTTGGGGCCGTAGCACCTAAACTGTGGAATAATCTACTCCTACACATCAGACAGGCAACTACTGTCAGTCTTTTTAATCTCATCTTAAAATGCATTTGTATTCACTGGCTTTTAATACAGTATGAGAGGTATTTGGTGTTTGGTACTAATATTATAAGTTATTTGGTACTAGTTATTTTGTATTTTTGTACAGCACTTTGGTTAACATTGCTTTTGTAATTAAATGTGCTATATAAATAAATAAACGATAATCTCACAGACATTTGGGAAAATATTCTGTAGACTGACGAAACAAAAATTTAACTTTTTGGGAGTTTTGACTCCTTTTACATCTGACATAAAACTAACTGCATTTCATAATAAGAATATTGTGCCAACAAGCATACATGGTGGTAGAAATGTGGTGGTCCGGGACTACTTTGCTGCTTGAGGACCTGGGTGACTTGTATTTGATGAAACCATGAATTCTGAATCCTGAATATCTGGACATCAGTTTGTGCCCTGAAATTCAAGTACACTTGGGTTACAAAGTGGGACAGTTATCTGAAACATACCTGAAAGTCCACCTCTGAATGGCTTAAACAAAAAAAACCAAATTAAAGGTTTTGAATGGCCTAGTCAAAGTCCAAGCTTAAGTCCAATTGAAAGGCTTTAGCATGACCTTAAATAGGCTGTTCATGTTCGAAAACCCTTCAGTGTAGCTCAATTTGAACAATTCTGCGGAAAAGGGTGGCTAAAATTGCTCCACAGCGAAAACCAAACAAAAAGAATGACAGTTTGCTTTATTTGTAAGATACATTTACGCTGCTGAGACTCACACTTTTTCTTGTTCCTATTTTTTTTTTACCTCGACTGGAATTACTCCTTCTAACACCTTTACTTTTATGATATAACTAATGAGACAAGTAATAACCCAGCCATAAGAGAAAATACATACAAAACAAATAAACTTGAAAAGCAACAAATAAGTCAAGTCTTCTTGATGATCATAAAGGTCATTTACAGCTGTGGAGTGTGTTTTGACTACCCTAGTTCTCAAATACACACACACATGCACATAAACATGAACAAATGCACACCATCTGCTTGTGTCATTTCTGTCTGCTTAATGCATGCCACTTCTGAATGCTAGCCATGTCAGTCACAGTTAGCCTTGTCTGTGCCTTCATATTTAGCCCTCCTGCATCTTGCACCACATCCTCTGCTCCCCCTCTGTCCCTCTAGTGACTGGTGGGTTACTCAGAGTTGGGCCCGGGCCTCATGTGTCACCACAGCTTCCATCATCTGCTGTCTCTGCCACACCACACTCTCTGGCAACCGCTCTCTGCCCTACAGTCATTTAATCGCATACGCACATGCATACACACACTTGCTCACACACAAGCGCACCCTGTGAGTCCCCTCATTTTCTCTTCTTAACATATGTGACATGTCCCCTGCCGACATGCCATTGGATTAGGGAGCTTTGATTGACAGGCGCTCTCCTGTAGTGACAGCTACTGCTGCTGGGCCCACAGGCGGACAAAAGGACGGGGAGAAGGAGTGGGGGGCAGTAAGGGAAGGCAGAGCATGGACAGATGAGTGGTGCTAAGGTGCTTCCGTCACTTATCTCTCCTGCTTCGCTCTACTCTGCCTCCCTCTTTTTCTGACTAAACGTCAGCCCTCCAATCCACTCATCACCTCCGCTTTGCGCCTCTCCTCCCCTTTCTATGCAAGGCCTTTAATTCGATGACTCGCCTTTGTCACGGAGCGTTAATCCACAGGCTGCTGTGACCCTGCAAGCTGTCAGATTCCGGCTAATATGAACCTTTTCTAGCCGTCAAGTTGGCAGTTAGGGGGAGCAGGTGGGAGATGTGTTTTGACAGGAGGCATGTGTGTGAGCACACACTTGCCCGTTTGCTTTAGCACATTTTTATTAAGCCCTACCTCTGGTGGTTTATTAAAAATAAAGGGCAAGGCATTGTATTAAGGGTGTGTGGAAGTATAGATCTCCTGTGGTGGAAAACAAAATTAGGTAGCATGGAAAGTACATCTTCAGAATTTTAATCTCCTTAATGAAGTAACACATAAAAGGGATTCTAAGTTTTGGTGTTGGTACATTTTAATTCGTCGTCAAAGTTAAATACATTAAGGAAAAGAATTAAGCAAGAAGGTAACATCTGAACATTAGGTGTTCACCTTGATTCAAAAGTACGGGCTTGAAATGACATCTAAGTTTAATTCTGAATCCATAATAACAGATATGGTGGATGATTTTTCTCGTGCTGCCTTCTAAAATCCATGTCACTGATTTTTATGAACACATGAAGTGAAGGAAAAGAGTGCATTCCTGAACTTTAGAAGTTGAAACCTTTTGGTTTGGCATTTTTCAACTTTTCTTGAAAAAAGGGCTGAAAATATAAACAAATTATAGGAATAAATGAGTAATTCAGTACTTTTTGTTGTCTTGTTAATCAGCTAATGATTTCAGGCCCAAAAAATCCAACTTTTCTTATGATTTCTTATGAGTGAAAATGGGGGAAAAAGTACAGTGATTTATTGTAGCGTATATAAGACAAAAGCAGAATTTGTACAATTTCAACAAGCTCGAAAGTCGTTATCATTTTATCCTACAACACAGCCTGAACTCTCTAAGGCAAACTTATGTAGTCTCCAGGAATAGTTCTCCAGGCTTCATGAAGGACATTCAAAATCTCTTGTTACTGTTTCCCAATGGTACGACTTTCGGTTCCTGTTCATCTGCTGATAGTTTTTTGCGCCTGCCACTTCTTCTTTTGTTCTTCACTTGTCCAACTTCCTCAGTTTTGTAAGAGCACACCACACACCAGGCTAAGCTGTGCCCTCTTTAGCTCAGATTTAATTCCGACTAACATGATTTGAGGCCTTCTTTGAAGGGTACACGTTTACCTTATAGCTATTAGCAGCTGCTATGCTCTCGAGTATGCCAGGGAAGATTTGTTAAACATGCAGTGGGCTGTTTTTAATGCGATTTGTGCTGTGATCAAATGGTAGTTCAGCGCTCCAGTCTGGGGCTTGCCTGCAGAGAAGCTTGGGTAAATGGAACTGTTTTATCAATTAAACACTTGTTTTTGATGGACAGGCGGAGAAAAACAAGCTTATTTGTATGTTCACATTTTGTACTGCAAAATTGTTTGTGTGTGTGTGTACTGTACATGTGGTATATTTGAGTTTATGTAATGGTTTTAATGCCCAAGATGCTCTGAGGATTTTATAACTTTGTAAAACTTGCGATATATTGATTCATGTGCCAAATATAAAATATGTTATTTTTCCACCTGGGTAGTACAAAGTCTGTGTAATCAGCGATTACGAGTGGACATCAGGTGTCCTGTCTCCTTCCTCCTTCACGCTCTGCACCTAATGTATTTATTCGCTACCTTTACCTAAACCAAGCAACATATCACAAGTAGTGAGAACACGTCACTGTGCGACAGTGAGAATGGGAAACTTTCATCCGTGTGTTCCTTACAAGCGTTTTAAATGAAATCAAACTATGTAAAGATACTTTTGTTTTATTATTCCATATACTTTACTGGTTATTGTTTATCCAGACCATTATATGCCCAGTTTTGTATTTCTAATCCTACTGGCCTTCACTTATATAGGAATATTGAGCATTCTACTGACAGCTTTGTTCAGCTGTTATACAACCGCATTCGTCACTCATATACAATGTGTCCTGTGTGTGTCAACAAAGTCAAAAAGTCTGCAAGTTGGCACTGAATATGTGTGTCTGTTTGTTTATCCTTGATATGTCGGATGGATAGATGTGTTGATGACAGTATTCCTCTAAAGAAAGGGTGAGAGAGAGAAGGAGACAGACAGAGTATAGTTGTTGGCTGACTGCCCTCCCTTCAGGGCTGGTGGGAGGAATAAGGGGCATCTAGAAGAGACGGTCTGTCTGCTCTTGTCAGGGTTTGGCCAGTACTTGGTTACCTGTCACTCTGGGCCCATCTAAAACACAAACACAGTTCTTACTCTGTCTCACATCACCCTTCCTTCCAGATCACCCTGTGTGTCCCATCAGTGACCCAACGCAGATAGAAACTGAGAGAAAGTGAGAGAAGCACCAGACACTGGTGTTTATCATCATTGAGGACCGTCATCTGCTATAGAAAAAACCTGAGCATGAACAAAAATTGCTGTTGGATGAACTTAGATCTTTTACTTTTGTTGGCACCATAGCTGAATTTGGAATACATACCAACAACAAGGAAGATGAATTTAGTGTTTGTTTGTTTTCCAGAAAGCTACTTTCAGCTGCTCCCTTATTCACCAAGGCTTGCCACAGCACGTATCTCTGCATATTTGATTTTGAAGGGTTTACACCGAATACCCTTCCTGATGCAATACCAAAGGAATTTGTGTCTTCTCCTGGAATTGAACTGGTGATCTGTTGAACGTGTAAACCACTACACTATGGAGAGATTTCTTTTTTTCTCCCTTTAGGTTGTGATATCAATAAAACCTTAGAAGCAGCAGCTAAAGTTCTGGTACAGTTGTGCATTTTTGCAGTTGTTTATAAGAAATACATATTTGAATTATATCTTTATCATACATTATAGTGTTGTGTATATAGATAGACTGTTATGTTTATCTGTGCAGCTTCTATTTACTTAAAGTGTTATGAATTCTTGAATTTCTGAAAACTTTATTAATCTTTTCTTATTTCTAGTTGATGATACACACGTTGATGCCAGACAGTGTCGTATGAATAACACTATAAAAGTATATGTCATTCTTAATTATCCAAAATAATTAAAGCCCAAGAGCGCAGATTTAACAAGGCTTTGTTTTGTATTTACTGCTTTAATATCACTCATGGGCTTTCCTAAATTCCAAGATAAGGAAGTGTTTTGCCTGCTTCTTTTTTTTTTTAGACTACCTCTTAAACTTTAGTTCTTTGATAAAGATTCTTTGAGAAATCTCTTCATAGTCAGCGAGGCAGCCCTGGGGAGAAACATGTCAACACAGGAGAAATCTTAACTTTCATCATTATTTAAGGAAACTTGCTGCATTAATCCGTGTCTCTGCCATGCCATTAGCTGTGTTTTATGTTTTTATTTGTGTGTGTGTGTGTGTGTTGAATATGGGCGCATCGCTTCCGAGGGTGCTGCTGAGTGGTAATGGTTGTGGCACTGTGTGGGTGCGGGTGGGGGGAAGGCCTTGCGGTCTCAGTGCTGATGGTGGCATGGTGGTGGCATTTGTCAGCTTGCTTCTTCCGCTTGGGCTCCAGATTGACGTCTTGTTTCTTGGCCCTGTTCTATGGCAGGCTAAAGGTTCCCCACTGAAAAGGTCAGACACTTACTACTGTTTGCTTAACAGCATGTAACAGTTCCTCTGAGGGGGGAACAACCGCACAGCAAAACAGGCCTGGCCACGGGATATACTCCTAGGCTCATCACTTTTAACGCACGTGTATTGAGATTTCAAAGATTTTTTTCTTTTTTGTATGTTTGTGTGAGTAAAGCGTGTTCATGCACTAAAGCGACAGAGCCTTATGTGTTTTAAAACAAAATATACACATAAAATATACATTTTTCTAAAATATTTCTGCTAGCCGTTGCTATTTATCATACTTCAAATAAAGTATATCACATATAGAAACATAAATTAATCTGAATATTTATGATTTCAGTGGATGCTGGTTTTAGGGACAACGGCGAGTCTTGTTTAACTGTCTGTGCGGTAACTGGTGGAAATATATGTATTGCATTCATGCGTGCATATATGTGCAGACGCTGGCTATTAACCGAGGGGAGAATCTCAAGATTTTGACAGTGAAGGTGAACATCCCCGACAGGGTGAAGAGTGACTTCACTAGGTGGTGCATCAACAACAGGTCAGACACAAGTAATACACAAACACTGTTACACTCACTGACACTTGTGTCTGCCATGATCATATGATGTTTTGTTAAATTTTTTAATACAAAACTGGAACTGTAGAAGGCAGAAAGTGTGGCATCTGTTGTTGACTTTAAGATTTTTGTACAAAAGGCACAAAACTGAACATATGATACCAGTGCTGTATGTATTGTGGCTGTTTTTGCCTGTGGCTGAAGTTGATAATAGAAATACTAAGAAATGGCTGGAGAGTTATTATTGCTTTTCAAGACGACAAAAATGAAAATGTAATATTTTAATACTCCAAATTGAATATAATCCATTCATTATTTTTGACTTATAATTCAGGTATCTTTAAATTAGATTTTACATTGAGAAATTATTGTAGAAAGTAAAGCAACAATTCTCATAATTTTGAATATTTTCTTAGTATCATTTTTTAATATTAGTTTTGGGAAGCACGAGTAGCACAGCACTTTCCTAGGTAACAGCAACTTTTGCTAATTCTGTTTTTTGCCACTCTGAAATAGCCATTTAAATAATCAATAAAAAAGAAAAAGAAGCGAATAGCAGTTGTTTCTAAGTACTATTTGTAAAGTACGCTATCCATTTTTAAATGTATATTCTTAGGCATCTTGTAAGCAAGGAAACAAAATGTTACTCTAATGATAAGACGTATTTCTCATGATTAAAGGAGTAGTTTCCTTATGTGCCACCAAATATGACAAGCAGAACACTCCACCTGGTTTAAACTATAATAAAAGGTTCTGTACAGATTGGGTTTTTGATGACATTTGCAAAAGCATCTCTTGGGAGCACAAGAGTCAGTTTGCAAAGGCACATTTGCTTTGACAAAATACGTTAAGCAGTAGAAACGCCTTGCAGAAGAACGCACTCTTTACCCCCACTGCTTTAATGCAGGTGGAGGCCAAAGACATTTGCAAAAGAAGAACTTCATGCAATCATTAGGAATGCAGTGGAGGATTCATATAAAAGGCTTATTCTTCCTTTCCTCACCAGGAGTTACAGGTAAGTGGATTTTGGATTTTAAAGTGTTTTTTCATCCAATATCAGTTTTTCCATTTACACCATGATCCTTTCTCAGTTTCTCTTTTGTTGATGTTGTCATTCTCTTCTTTAACTTATCTATTTGTCTCTATCTTTCATTTTCTCTCTTTAGGACTAAGCTGACAAGTGCAGCGGAGAAGGAGTCAATCGCCATGTTTGTGCGCAACCTCCGCCAGCGCCTGTTGGTGTGTCCAGTGAGAGGCTGTGTCATCATGGGGGTGGACCCTGGCTTCAGACATGGCTGCAAGCTGGCAATTCTCTCACCTACTAGTAAGTAAACACAAAAATGTACAAAAGTGGACTCACTGTCAGTTATCACTTGGTTTTGCAAGTCAGTGTAGTTTCATCTATAAAAAGCATACTCATGTACCTACACAAATAATACTAAAAATACATTTTATTGCTAAAGATATGATGAAATCACATTGATGTTGAAGAAAGATGGAAATATAATAATAAATAAAGGCAATAAATAATAAAGGCAACTTAACTTAACCTCACTAACTCATTAACTGCATGTCCTTGGACTGTGGGAGGAAGCTGGAGTACCTGGAGAGAACCCACGGGGAGAATCCCACAGATTTACCCAGGGATTCAAATCAGGGCTTTGTCTTGGACTTTGGTCTACTGGATGTAGTTCTTCATCAGGAGCAAAAAATGTTTTTGAGTCGTTATCTGACTGTGAGACAAAGCCATGAGCCACATCCATTTTTGCAGCTCAAAAAGCATCTCTAAAGGCTTTTTGTGATTGTAATCATTGTAGCCCTTTCCAAAGAGCACCTTTGTCCATTAACTATAAAGTGAATTATATTTTTACCCTTTTACCCTAAACCTTTTGAAAACTTTTGAGTACTGTAGTGCATTGTATCTCAGGAGAACAGCTGTGCCAAGATGGTTTGTTTTTAGTTATATTGTAATACAGTAACTAAGTATAAATTCATTGCTTTTGCCAACTGTATTTTATCACACTTTTTAAGTGTCCTTTCAAATTTATGACTAGTGAATTTTTATTTCCCTCGTTTGTGTCTTGTGATTTCTGACACTTGTGCTTAATTCCCTTTGCTATTGATAATACAAACCTGGATATACATAGCAATGGCACACATTTCCAGTTGTTACTGGGCAAATTATGAAGCCAAAGATTTTGTCTGAAAGGTTGCCGTGTAACCAGGCACCACTAGATTTGATAGAGCTGGCATGAGCCTGGTGAGTTTATTTTTTTGTGTGCACACAACTATGTGTATGTGCTGTGTCCATTTTACTGTTTTTTTTGACATGTCACTCAGTGGTTGTGCTCTCAAACTGGCAAGGGATTGCCCCACCCTCTGGGTTACCAGTTGTGTGGCCAAAAGTCATGCTGACACACTTAAATAGTATCAAATACCGTGTGGTGTGGTCACAGGTTTGTGTCTCCTGGCTCACATCATTTCACAGCTTCAGATCTAAACTTCTCTTTTAATGAAACAGTGAAGTGACGGACTTTGTGGCGCAGCTTGGATAGATTATAGGTTGTGTACTCAACTTAGAGGGAAGAGACATTACGTTATAGCATACATCGTTGTCTGTTAAATTCCTCATGTCATCATAGTTACATATCAGCAATATTGTAATTTCTTTCTTTCTCTCTCGTTACTTTTATCTGTCCAAGGTCAGATTCTCCATACTGATGTTGTGTACCTGCATAATTCAAACCAACAAAGGGAAGCAGAGAAATTACGCCACCTTATGACCAAATACAGGTATTACAACTAAAGAGTCACTGTTAGTCATAGCATTTCTGTGCAGATTGTGTATTTGTCTGCTTTCTTGGTGTTATAAAGTCCGCTGAACTGTATATTATTAAAATCTGGAGGGAACTCAAAACCCAGTTGCAGTTTTTCAGAGGTTGATGGTTTTTTTCTTAATCCTCAGTTTTCTCCTCTTCATCTTGTCCATATTAGCTGTAGTAGGGTTGTCATTGGCAATGGGACAGCATGTCGGGAAACAGAGTCCTTCTTCGCTGACCTCATCTCCCGGCGGTATTTTCACCCGCTGGATGTGTCCTATTGGTAAGGTCCAGTTTACTTTGGAATAGTTTGTAATTTATTTATTATCCTGAGTAGAAATAAATGCTTATAAAAGATGGCTGATAGATGACTCTCCAGTGGGCTGACTTCTATTGCACAGTTTAATGTTTCTTGGGTTTGCAAGATTTGCATCTTAAACAGTAACAGAAGGCTTTAAACTGTGGACCTTTAGATATTTTTGGATGGTTTGCAAGATATTTGCTTTTTTCTGAAAGGAAAATTACATAGTAGTAAGTGAAGCGCAAGCTTTATGAATCTGTGTAACACCAGAAACAAACTGAATTGAACTGGTGCTGAAATAATTCAAAGTTTAATACATATTTGCAACCAAATAACTGCAACTGTATTTGTTCTGTCTATTTTTAAAGTTAACTTTGTCTGTTGTCTTTCCTCTCTATGGTGTTTGCAAAAAACATACCACACTGCTCGGCTAAGCCAAGGCTAACTGCAGTCATGGTTCCTACTCTTAGAAAACACCCAAGGATTTTTTAGGACCAAAATATTAAAAAAAAAACCTTTAAGTAAGTGATTCATTGAAATATCCTTGATTTGTTTATACAACTTCACTGCCAATATGTATTCTCTTTCATTATGAAAGAGGAGTAACAGGGGAGGTATCAGCAAGATCTGAAATTGTTGTGATGATTAATAAGTTATAAAGTTATTATGATCTTGGTACAGAATAAGTTTAACAGTGTGGGAGAACAGTGATGAGGAGTGTAGAAGAATAAAAAACAAAAAGCATTATATGTGTGAGCGAGAAAGCAGGACACAGATGCAGAGCAAGACTAAGAGGAATGTGTCCTCCAGTGAATATTGTCCATTAAAGCCATCTGGACTTTGTTACGCTTTGGTCCAATTAAAGAGACGCTTTGTGGTTGAAGTTGTGTCTGTAACCAGGCCCAGTCCAAACTTAAGAATATAACAGCACAGAACCTGTGTCCAAGCATAATAACCACTGGCCTCTCCCCGCTCCATCTCGCTCACTCTCTACTGAGTTCCATGTGTGTTTGTTGACTTGGGGTTAGAAGTGGGACCACAGCCTAAAGTGACTTTAAGTGATATGTGAATGTCTATGTATAATTTTATTTTTTCTGAGCACCTTGGAGTTCATACACACACACACACACACTTCAAAGGTTGTGCTTTTGGTATAATAGCCCATATTTTTTCTATCATGTTACATTTTCTGTCGTCTTTTTAGAACAGAAACAGTGAAAGCGAGGCGTTTAGTAAGTTAATGTCCACTTGATTATTTTCCTGACAGACGGTTTTTTCTTTTGAGCACCTCCAGAGCAGCTAAATTTTACATCTTGATATAATGCCTTTCTTGTTCATTCTTTTGCTGCAGCTGTTTGGCATTCACACTTTTCACAACACAGAAGAACCTCTGGATGTCTGTTTGATGTGGTGATAGCTGAATGTCCTGTATTACCCAATGTGATTAATCACATTTGAGTACGCAGCACATGTGTCTGTGTCAAGAGTCTGCCTTAACTTGGTATGGTTTGAGGAATAAAGGCATTTGCAAGTGTGTGAACTATAGAAGAACAGAAAGCTGTTGTTTCGACATTAGTTATTGAAAAATGGTTGTTGTCGTCCAGAGATAACATCTTTCCAGAATCATCTGGTCCTATATCTCACTCTGGTTTCTTTGGACAGTTGATGAATAAGACATGGGGGAAAAAAGATAGAACAGATGTTAAAATACAGTCTGTGTTTTTCAGAATTTAAATCTACATTCTGCTCTTGCTGCTCTTCGCTCCCTTCTCTCTCAATCTGATGCTCCTTGGTCCTTGTTTTACATTATGTATCCCTTTCCTGACTTTCCCTTCTTAACTTCAGTTGAACATTCTTTGGCCCTGCAGAATCCTTTTCCTAGATTTTCAAAAACTGCCCATACTTAAATAGGGGTTCGTTCCAAAGTGTTAAAACTCTAGGATACATGTTGGTTCAGTATCAGTATTACACGTACTTTGGGATTTAGAGATGTGGTCATAAGTTTACATACACACATCATGTCCGTAACCTTTATGGTAATTTTGGACTTTTAATTATTTTTTTAGCCGTTCTTTTCCCAGCGTGAGGTGATTGGATAACATACATTTTTAGTGACTTTAAAGTTTGAATTTATTTTTGATATTTTCTAATCCACACAGAGTCAAATGTATACTTACGTCCCCACCAATATTTGGTTAAATGTCCCTTAGCAAGGTGCCTCTTGACCAGATGCTTTTGGTAGCCATCGGCAACCAAAAGGCATAACTGTGGCTGGGTAATTTGCTACTCATCTTAGCAGAATAGGTAGAGTTGATTTAAATTAGTTAGTTGTAATTTTTCAATTGAGTTTTTAACCCAATCGACTGTGTAACTGAGATACTTCACATTTATGTTACAGCAGTTTTATATCAGTACACTTATTTCTGCATGTTTTTTATTCTGTCATTCCTGCTGCATGGGAAATCATTCTATGCAGGATGAAGTCATTCTCCTGGTACAAATGGGAAAAATGTTGTAGGGGTGGGGAAATTGTATAGCTAGCCTGTTGGTTAATATACTAGTTCTCAACATTTATTGATCTAAAATGGATTAACATCCCTAATACCTGCTGTATTAGTAATATGTGTTTTTCCTTAATACTCCTTTAAGATATCTAGTTAATTGTGTCAAATTTGACAGAAGCATCTCTTGAAGAATGACAATGATTGCATGGCTGATTAAAGAATAACTGGCCTTAAGGAGTGATGGTTGTTTACTGTGAGGGTCTCACTCCCCTGCTGGTTGACCCACAGCTGACCCTGACTTGCTACTAAGACATACTCATTACTGTGACCACAAGGATGATGACAGTGATGTAGAATAGCTGTGTAGCATCAGAAACAGTAGGGGTCTTAGTGTTGGCTGTGTATGACCCCAAAGTAATTAATTGACCCATTTTCTTGTATACTTAGCATGTTTGCATGAGCTTTTGTAGGCTGACGTGATACCAAATTGGTGCCCAATACTTTTTGCTTGACAGATGTAGGAAGGTTTTTAGGAATCCGTAGCTAGCCAAATCACAGTGGTGGAAAACAACCAGGAAGACAAAATAGTGGTTTCAGGGTATTTACAAAGTGAGTGACTCTCCCTGTGTTACCATTGCTATACCTTTAGTGACCCTTGTTTTTCACCCTGCTTTTTCTGTCATCTGCTGCTAGTTATGATGCCATTACCATTTTAAATAGAATCAGTAAAAGTTTGGCATTACCAGTATTTTAATATTTTTACTAGAATACCGTTAGAGGTATTAGGTTGGGCCGGCTTGTTTGGCTCTGTGTGTACCTCTGCAAACACATGTGTTGGTAATTAGACCTCCCCTCTCTTCTCTTTTCCGCCACTTTTTCTGCCAGCTTTGACTGTGCCGTAGTTCATTAAAGTCCCCAGCCTCATTTGCACCGTCTGCTTCCTGTCTCCCTGTGAGCCTTCATTGTGTCACCACCCCCACCCTTCACCACACTGTCTTCTCTACTCGCCTGTCTCTCTTTCGCTCTCTGTCCTTCTGCCTCAGTGCTCAGATGGAATGACAGCCAGAAATGGCAGCCTGCAGGACATCCCTACTTGTATTTTGACTGTGTGTGTGTGCGTGTGTGTGTGTGTGTGCGCACATGCAGTTTTCCTTGCCTTAGTCCTGTTTAAGTCTAACTTTCATCTTCTGCATCACCATAATGCTTTAGAAGTGTGGCCTTTTCCAAAGACGGTGAAAAAAGTGCACAGATTTGAGTCTTTGTCTGTAAGACTATGTCATTTTATGTCATTTTGGAGCTACAGATGTGAAAGCTTGTTTTATTCTGTGCAGCTGTAATAGTCATCCCTATTTGTTTCCCTGATAGCGCAGAAATGATGTACAATGGAGTGCGCAGAGTAATTTCATTAGGCCACAAAAAGGACACAGTACCATTATTAACATATATGTAGTTCTTTCTGATTTTTTTTAAATGTACAGTGTGTAAATCTCACCAAATTGGTAGATTTCAGATTGCAGTCAGTTGAACTGTGTTTTCTTACCTCTCCCAATTCAAGTGTATAAACCTAGCTACAGTGGCTGATGTGGGACAAACAACTCTAGCTGGCACTGCAGCCTGTCACTTCGCTGTCTACCTCAGCTGTCAATATACCACTTTCCCGTGTCTATTTGTTTCTGGAACAGGCTGCAAAACTTTGTGAAAGGAGTCCAATAAGAGTCGATGAGTCAGTGAAGCTCGTGTCCAGGGTTAACTGTTCGTAATCATGATGTTCTTGCCACTGTTCGCTGAACTTAGTGAAACAATGGATTAAACATTGTTTTACAGGGACACTTGGTGAATAACTATGTGAGAATGTTATCAAGCTGTTTATCAGAGGAAGAGTGTAATTTGCAAGACACTTGAGCCTTACATTAGCTGGAATAATGTTAGCTTATAACCAGATGCTGCAGTTTAGCCTGCCTACTGTTAGTTTGTTTAAGAGATGGTAGTGTCGGATGTGTTATCTTCAGTGAATAAGTGACTGCAACAATATCCAAGATAGATAAGCATAATTATTCACATTTTCTAACTTTAGTACCGGAGATGAGGCTTAAGGTGAGGAGGGGGAAATGAGGGAGGAAAGAGCATGTGTGGAGGGGGAGAAAGACAGAATGAAAAATTGATGATGTAAATATAGATGTCCAAATGTTAAATACTTACATATAGTTTGAACGACCTATTTGTGATCTTTAAATATAAAGTTACTTATAAGGTGTACAACATATGTGACCGGTATCCAGCCACATACATAAAATGCGATTATGCAGAACGGCAATGTCCGTCTTGTCCACATCACTTTGTTAGAAGATGTAATTACACACTAATCATTGTATTTCTATGAATACAACATTCTTTTTTTCTGATAAATAACCCCGAAAGCTACTTACTGTACCTTTTAAATGAAGGTGATAGGCACATATGCACATTGCACTACTCAGT